GGGACTGCTGGCCATGGCACAAGCACAGCCTGGAGTCATGGCTGGGGTGGATGGTGCCTGGGGTGCTGTCACTGAGTGACGATAAATGTGTGGGAAAGGCTTTGTGAGGCATTTTCCCAGGTTCTGCAGAGCCCTTTGCTGTTGGTGACCCCTCTTGAAACCATTGCCTGGTCCTACAACCCGACCATATTGTGGTCACCCTCAGCAACTATCCAGACTGGATCCAGCAGAAACCTCTCTGTGTCCCAAAACATTTGACGTGCAGTACATGATCAAGCATCTGTAGTCTAGAGCTAGCAGTAACTGTGGGCCAGATTTACATGGAGGGTCTGTATCCAGAGCAGATGGGGTTGAAGAGAGTCAAGGGGCTGCGGCACAGTACTGTTGAGGTGGGGTTGTGGAGCTGGTGGGATTGTACTGTGAACTAGGGCCGTCTCCTCCTTGCAGCGCTCGCTCATGGCACAGGGGTGTTGTGCTGCACAGGGGGCTTTGCTGCTGCGGCACTCGCTGACCTGCTGCTTTCTGCCCTCTCTCCTCTCCCTCTGCAGGTTCCCTGGTCCAGGCAGCGCTGACTCAGCCGGCCTCGGTGGACGTGTCCCTGGGAGGCACTGCTAGCATCGACTGCTCTGGTGGTGATGGCTACTATGGCTGGTACCAGCAGAAACTTGGTGGTGCCCCGGTTGCTGTGATTATATTTGAATGACAAGAGACCCTCAGGCATCCCTTCACGATTCTCTGGTTCCAAATCTGGCTCCACGGGCACCTTAACCATCACCGGGGTGCCAGGCATGGAGGAGATCGTGTATTACTGTAGTGACAGCTTTGATCGTGTTGTGGGAGACACTGTGCACTGATGGGATTTGGCGGTGGTGGGCAGTCTTGTGGCCCCCTGTGAGTGTCCTGACCAGCCTGGCTCTCCTACATCAGCCGCTGGCTGTGAACATTCTCATCTTGGGCCATGCACATAAATCTGAAGCCTCTCACTGTGAAAGCAATTTTCGCCTCAACTTGGAGTCAGCACCCGGAGCCTCCAATGCCTTGGAGATGTGAGTGAAACGCGTTGAGGGGACTTGGAATTGCCAGTGCAGGGAGCGCCTGTCTGCGTTACCTTAAATGTGCATGTCTTCAGCACAGTCCCATGGCTGGATGGTCTTGGGATGCCAGAGCAAGGCAGCTTCTGTGGATGCCTTGTGAGGATGGGACCTCGGAGCCTGTGTGAGAAATTTTAGGAATGTGTTTTGACTGAGTTTTCTTTTTCAGGAAAGAAGCATCGAGGTTCCTTTCCCCAGGCATCTTGCTCCAGATGACTGTTATCCTGTGACACTTGAGAGAAACCCAGTTCTTGCAGGCTTGTGTTGTCCAGACGCTGGTTTGTAGAGTTCCTGCATGGTAGGGCCTGCAGGCACAGGGGCCCCGGGGCGTCGCGCTGCGCGGGGGGCTTTGCTGCTGCAGCACTCGCTGACCTGCTGCTTTCTGCCCTCTCTTCTCTCCCTCTGCAGGTTCCCTGGTCCAGGCAGCAATGACTCAGGAACCAGCCTCAGTGGACGTGTCCCTGGGAGGCACCGCCGAGATCTCCTGCTCTGGGAGTAGCAGCGGCAGCTCCTATGCCTGGTACCAGCAGAAACCTGGTGGTCCCCCAGTCCCTGTGATTTATAACGTCAACGAGAGACCCTCGGGCATCCCTGAGCGATTCTCCGGTTCCAAGTCTGGCTCCACGGCCACCTTAACCATCACTGGGGTGCAAGCCGAGGACGAGGCCGTCTATTACTGTGGTGGTTATCCTGGTAGTTTTGCTGATGACACGGTGGCACTGAGCAATGGGGAAGTGTGACACAAACCTCCCGCCCTAGTGTCCAGCCACCACTGCTGTGTGTTTTGTAGGAGACCAGCTCTGTTTCTTCACAGATGAACAAGTGAGACTGCTTGCACTGGAAAGACTTTCTCTAGCCCAAGTGTTGGATAGGACCCAGCCCTGGTGTGTGAGCTTCTGCTTTCTGGGTATTTAGAGGGCTGAGCTGCAGGAGCTTCTTGACTGGTGTCTGCCTCCTGGTGCTGTCCCCACAGTGAAACGCTCCCAAGCAGCCCTTTTTCCTGAGATACCAGCAGCTGAAGTGGCAGACGTCATGTTGTCCTGTACGGGCGGCTTTGCTGCTGCGGCACTCGCTGACCTGCCGCTTTCTGCCCTCTCTCCTCTCCCTCTGCAGGTTCCCTGGTCCAGGCAGCAGTGACTCAGGAACCGGCCTCAGTGGACGTGTCCCTGGGAGGCACCGCCAAGATCTCCTGCTCTGGTGATAGCAGCGGCTACTATGTTTGGTATCAGCAGAAACCTGGTGGTTTACTGGCCGCTCTGATATATGAGAGCAATAAGAGACCATCGGACATCCCTGCGTGATTCTCTGCTTCTGACTCCGGCTCCTTGAACATTTTAACTGTCACTGGGGTGCAAGCCAAGGATGAGGACAGCTATTACTGTGGTAGCTCTGACAGCAGCAGTGGTGATCTCACAGACACACAGAGCCCTGGGGAAGTGAGATGCAAACCCACAAGCTGAAGAAGGTGTTTCCACCTCCTTCCCTCTAGTCATTCAAGGCCCTGCCTGAGTGTGTCCTGCCTTTCCTGACCTGTCCCAGGAAGTGACTCTGTGGCTTGGCCCATCTTGTCTCTGTGCTCACACAAGGCCCTGTGTGGCCTTGTCCCCAGCCCTGATCCCTGTTGCTGCTGGTGCCTCCTGTTCCCCCTGGAGCTGCCCCTGTGCTGGGACATGCTGAGCTGGGCTCTGCTCGCTGCTGTGCCCCTGCACCAGTTCCCTTCTCCTGCTGGAGCGTCGATCCCCATCCCTGCAGCTCCCTCTCTGCTTGCAGGACCCGAGGGACATTGGTGCTGCTGAGTGCTGTTGTTCAGTGGCAAGTAACGCACATGTCCTGCAGCTTACAGGGGCTGCTGCAGCT